GATATGATACAATTTGTTAATTTTGAGAAAACGGACAATAAACTTTTGTTACTGGTACTTTTTCTTCGTACATAACTTCTTCATCACATGCAATTTCTAAAAATTGCCTTTAAAGCCAGAGCTGTAAGGTCTAATATGGTTTATAGGACATGACACCTTCATTCAATGTAAAAACTCAAAATCTTGAAAATGGTACTTAATCCCTCTATCCACTCATGTCTTCTATTAAGAAATAGTAAGGTATATGACGGATACCTTATCGGATATCTTCGGTTATATTACTATCGACAATTTAAAAATTAAAAAAATTCCATTTATTACTTAAACCTTTATTATCAGGAATTTAGTCAAACGCAACTTTAACAATACTAACATCAAAATCATCTTGCTCAAAAATAACAAATGAAAATCAAAGCGACGCTAATTTAAAAACGTTGTAAGGCTTGAATGATAATTAGTGTGTCCGCATAGTATTATCTGAGTATCCACAGATACCAGGCGGGCCGTGGGAACTCACAATATGCGGTCGATGATACGGAATTAGATAAAAGACACCGATTAACATTTACGTAACATAAAATATACAGCAAGGCTTTTTGTTTGTTTGTATTAGTTTGTCATTATATTATTTTCGACGAGCGAATTAACCCACAGCCCACTGAGTTTCTCGCCGGATCTTCTCAGTGGGTCGCGTTTCCGATCCGGTGGTAGATTCTGCGAAACACTGCTCTTGCTAGGGTCAGTGGTAGCATCACTCCGGCTTGAGCCCCGTGAGCTCACCTACTAGTTAAGGTTACGCTGAAATAGCCTCTCAAGGCTATCAGCTTAGGTAGGAAAAAAATTTTTTTTTCGACTGTCATTGAGTCGTCAGTCAGTAATATAATAATAATAAAGGCGAAATGAAACCGTAAAAATAGTTTTTATTGTGTACACGACTTGCAAAAGACAAACGAAATTCGGTTTCTCTGATTGATCCTTTTTGAATCAGGTAAAAACACATTCGTAAGGGCCATCTTTTTAAAAAAATAAATAAAATAATCAAACCATTACTCCGAACGATACACGGAATCGCCAGGTGTGATTTCTCCGTCGTCCGCCTGCGATCGAGAATGATTTTAATGCAAGATCGACATTTAAAGGTGGACAGCATATTTTTTGTTGGTTTTTGGTGACTAGACCCTTACAGATGATACGCGAACCCAAGAATCGGTGCGTTTAATATATATATGGCACCTGTCTGTGGTTTATTCATAGCTTGTTTTAAAAAAGACATCTTAGAGCCCTGCGGTGATAAGAGAAAAGGAATACATTCCGAGGCCGGATAATGGATGTCAAAAGTAACGTATAAGTACCATAGACCTATATAGTACTTCAGTGATAAGTACAGTGATAAGTACTGAGGTAATAAAAAAAAACACATTTGACTACATGCAAAAAATATTATCTGAATCATTTAATTTTCCTATAAATAAATAAAACCGAATAGATGATTATCTATCTATCTGTATATATAAAAATGAATTGCTGTTCGTTAGTCTCGCTAAAACTCGAGAACAGGTGGACCCATTTGGCTAATTTTGGTCTTGAATTATTTCTGAAAGTCCAGAGAAGATTTAAAAGGTAGATAAATATGAAAATGCTCGGAATTAAATAAAAATAACAATTTTGTTTTTCTTCGATGTGTCCCCCGTCGGACGGCTTCCTTTTGTTTATTTTAAGTTTATTTTATACAAAGTTTAGGTCTTTTATTTATCGAATGAGGCACTACGAAGTCTGCTGGGTCAGCTAGTCATTTATATATTTATTTATCTATAAGTCGAGGCCTAAAGCATAAGACGCCTTGTAATAACAGTCAAGCGATGTGTCTGCTGTCTATACCAGTGTTCAAATCCCGCAAGCAGGTACTTATTCTAATGAAATACGTACTTAAAACGGGTTTACGGACAACTTTCACGATCAAGGAGTATCATAAAGTAATAAAAATCAATCCAGCAAAAATGTTTGTGTATTATTTACTGGTGAAAATTTGACCTCGTGGGTCAAGACGGGTCGTGAGGTCTATCCGTTCCAGTAACCACTTAAAATGCAGTGGTCCGTAAGCTCACTCATCTGTTTAGGCTAGAAAATTATGTTTAAAATAATTGCCATTGGATTAATTTATTTGGAACATTAACTTCTAGATATAGTGCTTGTCAAAACTATTATGGAATACGTTTTTTGGTTCCCGCTTATTCGCGGATAGCATCAAACCAGACAAAATGATTGCTTAGGGTAGGAAAAAGGGGTAGTAGAAAGGAGATGCCAAAACCATCAGTACTTCTAATGGAACATACATTATATTAGGTTTAGATCAGGTTGTCGCCTGCCCCGCATGGGAGAGGTGGCGCCGTGTCCTCGTCGCAAAAATAGGAAACGACTTGTCGTTGCCGGGTGTCGTGGCATCGATGCTCGGTGACGACGAGTCGTGGAAGGCGATGCTCGACTTCTGCGAGTGCACCATCTCGCAGAAGGAGGCGGCGGGGCGCGTGAGAGACGCGCAGGCCCGCCGCCGTCGAGCGGGGGCCAGGAAGGCGGATTTCGCCCAAGACCTGGCCCTCTAAGTGTTTCGGGTCTCCCTCACATGTCGGCCTGGGGACCGGCGAAGGGGACCTAAGAAGACGACGTGCAAGCTGCTCTGCACGAGTTTTATGCAAGGGCATCCGGATGATGGAAGGCCGGCTATCCTCAACTCACGCTGGTTCTGACCCAGCGGGGTATTCCGTAGGGGGTAGACCATTCTAACCGGCGCCATCTAAGCGGGCTTCGGATAGCCTGCTGATCGAGAGGGCTGGTGGTCGTGGCGCCGACGATCGCCAGTCCGGCGTCCCGAGGGGGAGGGTGATGGGAGAGATGTGCTCCGCACTAAACGCTTCACTTTCCCCCCTTTGCCTTTTTATGAGTTCTGTCTTATGCGAGGTTTGGATGCTGGTTGTTGAGCGACAGGAGGTTTTAGTCGGTTCAACTCCGACATGCCCCGCCCTCCATCCCCAGTGGAGGGCGGAAGTCCGGTGATTTCCTCCTGACAAAAAAAAAAGGTTTAGATCAGGTTGACAGAATAATTCAAACATAATCGTCTCGAAGTTTAAATAATATAGTCACTGTGACAAACTAATAACTAGCCACTAGATTGATTATAATTAATAATTAAATTGTTAATGAAGTAAATTATTTTTGTCGACCTTTTAATACTATACATCATATCGTTTACAAAATGATAATTCTTTGTATTGAAAGAAATCCTAATTAATGGTTCGTAACTGCTCGGAAACTATATAATTGATATAGAATCGTTTTGAATTAAGTCGTGAAGACTGATAATTTATAATTAGAATAAGAATTAAGTCATCGCTTACACTGTATAACGAAAAGAACAGGCCTAATTATTTACTTTGTCTTTAATACTATGTTATTCTATGTTTTCTACTTTTCTATTACGCTTAATTTTTTTTGTATTAATATTCTACTATGCTTTCTCGAATAAACACGTCACATTCAATAGATTTTTGGAAACTATTATAGGATTCCCGTACGAGATTGGAAGTAAGTAGCGCCATGTTGACGTCATTCCACGTAATAACGCCCTTTCTTAATAGTATAAAATTAAAAAGTCATTAACATCCTGATTTCTGAACGGTTTTAAATTTTCTTGTCATGGATCGGTTGTGCAATTTACAGGTAGATCCGGTCACCGTTCTCGTCGAACCCGTCGCTTGCGACGAAGGGCTCGTCGAGTAAATTAACCCTCAGACACAACCCACTGAGTTTCTCGCCGGATCTTCTCAGTGGGTCGCGTTTCCGATCCGGTGGTAGATTCTGCGAAGCACGGCTCTTGCTAGGGTTCGTGTTAGCAACGTCGTCAGGTTTGAGCCCCGCGAGCTCACCTACTAGTTAAGGTTACGCTGAAATAGCCTCTCAAGGCTATCAGCTTAGCTAGGAAAAAAAACCAGTTAGATTTTGATGATACATAAGTATTGGTACAGGGGAACAATTTTTTTTTCTTCTACCAAAACGCTTGTTACCTAATAGGTAGTTCTTCGCTCGGACGAGAGGAATTGCTAACACTGACCCTAGCAAGAGTAGTGCTTTGCTAAATCTACGACCGGGTCGGAATTGCGACTCACTGAGGAGATCCGGCGAGAAACTCAGCGGGTTCGGGGTACACGATGATCTTTTATTTTTCTCGAAACACAGTTATATCAGACGAGAGTTGATAACGATATACGTAAACAGCGCGTGTTTACGTTTTTATCTTGTTTGCTAAGTTTATTGGAGTAACCTGGTTTCGGTTGCCTAACCTTTGTTCGGGGCTGAACCCTTTCCACGCATGTTATATTGTGTCAAATAAAAAGTATTACGTAGAACGTTCGAGTAAAGTTTGCGTCACGTTTCGTATTTTCTAGAATATTCTTTTGAGTTATATCCGACGAGAAATTTTTAAAAGACTATCCTTAAAAGAGACTCTTTTCAATAGGATTGTGGGTTGATGTTGAACAAATCATTCAGTGATCGCCTTCTTGGTGGAGCGGTTTATGATCAAAACTGGCTCGGCGTTACTCATTATCTTTGGTAAATACGTTTGGTATTCACCGTTTAGCTGTGTTTTTTTCTTGTCTCGTATATGAATGGTTTACCGGTGATAGGACCTCTTGTGAGTCCGCACGGGTAAGTACCACCACCCTGCCTATTTCTGCCGTGAAGCAGTAATGCGTTTCGGCTTGAAGGGTGGGGCAGCCGCTGTAACTATACTTGAGACCTTAGACCTTATATCTCAGGGTGGGTGGCGCATTTACGTTGTGGATGTCTATGGGCTCCAGTAACTACTTAATACCAGATGGGCTGTGAGCTCGTCCACTAATCTAAGCTATAAATTAAAAAAAAGTATGGAACATCAATTTTAGTAATTTTATTTATTAAGAACAAATAAAATATATTGTTGATAATAAAACTTGTTGATTTTCCAGAAGGCGTTTGGCGCGGCGTGAACGGCGGGCCGCGCCATGGGTAACAAGTGTTGCAGCCGCCGACATGACGCCGAGAGACCTCCTGGTAAGAGATAAATTATAGAAAGAAAGAATGAAAGACAGAAAGAAAGAAAGAAAGAAAGAAAGAAAAAAAGAAAGAAAGAAATAATTTATTCTCCAAGCATAGTGAAAATAAGTTATTACATAAGTTGAAAGCAGCGTGTATGCTTTGTCATTATTTGACATGCGAATTTTAGTGCAGTGCAAGATATTATAAAATTATATCTTGCACTATTATGCTTGCAATATTATAAAAAAATAATTTAGCATTATTGATTATATTTATTAGAAAACTCCCAATCATTGGTTTTCCTTTTTCTCATTGTATGATATATTCTTGTTACCGAGATTACTTTCCTGTAGTCAACGGGGGCCTAGGCATGCTTAATTCATATACTTACTTAGCAAAATAGTTTTCAATTTGCATAAATTTTAATTTGTTCTTGAAATTATTGCCTTGTTCTAACATAATTTCACTCTCTCGGTAGACACATAAAGAATAAGTTCGCCTTCTTGTCTCGAATACAGAAATAACAGCATTTACATATTTTACAATAAAATAATATTTGAATTATTTTACGGCGATATTACCATCCGCCGAACGTGTCCGCGAACTTCGAATAAAAATTATATAAAATTAATTTTGTATTGTTTTTTTGTTTTTTTTTTGTTACATCGTTTCCGTCAGCCTATTCAGAAATCCGGGAAGGCTGTTAAGAACCGTAATACATTCCTGAAATGCTTCAACTCGAATGATAGCTTTGGAGCGTATTCGGCAACGTGTCATAGCCCACTTCCTAGAAAAGAACAATTGCTCAGAATTTTGTTCACACGACGTTGAACATACGAATTCGCGTGCAATTAGCATTCGTCGGCTATATGTTTACTCATATTCTTAATATTTAAGGTTACCTCCCATTGTTTAGACGATAATTTGAATTGTAATATTTATAATTGGCGTAAATTAGACGAATTGTTTTTGTTACACTCAAATTGTGTTATTGTTCTATTTTCTTAAGGAACTTATTATGAGTAGTGTCTTAATTTAGACGCGTAGAAAAAGGATTTTTTGTCTATCTTTTTTTTTTATTGCTTATATGGGTGGACGAGCTCACAGCCCACCTGGTGTTAAGTGGTTACTGGAGCCCATAGACATCTACAATGTAAATGCGCCACCCACCTTGAGATATAAGTTCTAACGTCTCAGTATAGTTACAACGGCTGCCCCACCCTTCAAACCGAAACGCATTACTGCTTCACGGCAGAAATAGGCGGGGTGGTGGTACCTACCCGTGCGGACTCACAAGAGGTCCTACCACCAGTATCTATTCTTGTAACCTCGAGGGGCTATTCTAGATTCGCCAAGCTTTTAGGTGAGCTCACGGGACTCAAACCTGACGACGTTGCTAACACGAACCCTAGCAAGAGCCGTGCTTCACAGAATCTACCACCGGATCGGAAACGCGACCCACTGAGAAGATCCGGCGAGAAACTCAGTGGGCTGTTTTTAGTTCGAAATCGTCCAATGCATTTTAGTGGTATAATTATTGCTTGAGGTAAAAATAGACTTGTGTCAGACAAACTGTGGGAAAACCATATTGTTTAAAATTTTCCAAGACAACAACTTTAGACAGATTATAATTACTGTTTTGTTACATTAGAGATAACTAGCTGTACTCGTCCGCTTCGCTGGGCATTTAACATTATTTCTCACCTCCACAAAGATGCTCATCATTAACGCCCCCGCAACTGGTGTAAGGAGTCCAACACTCATATAAATATTAGCCTATACATTAAGTACATGTATTTTCTACATTGATACCAAGTTTCAAGTCAATCGGATGCATGGTTCAGTAGTTATAACGGAACATCCGTAAAAAACACTGTGATTTATATATTAGTATACATAAAATACTTTAAAAAAAAGCTACGTCAATAATGAATTATTAAATAAATTAAAAAACTACTTTATCCCTTTTTTTTCGATTTCAGTGTACCCTCACAAGAACGAGCCCGGTTTCACAACGTGCCCCGTGTCTTTTGACACGCGGTACACTGGCGAGCCAAACACCAGGCAACCGTCGCGACCTCCTGTTGACGTCGTAAGAACGACAACAAAATGCAAGTATTATTTTATTTATATTTTTGAAAAACGATTGAAAGCTCAGCGACCAAAGAAAGGTAACTTCATCTATACTATTATATAATATTATAAAGCTGAAGAGTTTATTTATTTGAACACGCTAATCTCAGGAAGTACTGGTCCGATTTGAAAAATTCTTTCAGTGTCAGATAGCTCTTTTATCGAGGAAGGCTATTATAAGCTATCATGTTAGCATCATGCTAAGACCAACGCAAGCGGAGCACCAATAAAGAATGTTTCAAAACTTTCCAAATCGGATTTTAATCCCTTTTGAGAGCTTTCACTGCTGCACCACGGAAACGGTTAAAGTTTCGCTAAAATAATGTATGAGAGAATTTTTCCTCTTTAAAATGTCTCAAAAAAAGTCCGCGACAGCATAATTATGTGTCTATATCAGCCACAAGCCAACGTTTCGGCCGATGAACAAACACCATCTAACTAGCACCTATTACGTCACTTGTAAGTAAATCGTAACTAATCGATGGTTATCAATATTGTTTCCAGGCATATCAAACGGCGGTCGTCGAGTCGTAAAAGCCCTGTGCGAGTATACGGCTCGAGCGGACTCCGACATCTCGTTTCACAAGGGCGACCGCATGGAAGTCCTCAACAGTTCGGAGCCGGATTGGTGGATGGTGTTCCATCTGACCACGAGGAGGGAAGGCCTGGTTCCAGTCAATTACGTCGCCGAAGAGAGTTCAGTGGAATGTGAAGAGTGAGTGTTCAAACCGTTTTAATTTGATTTGGTGTAGAACTTTATTTCACTTTTCTATTCTTCAGCTTTTTATCTTCGTATTAAGGCTAAAAAATATATTCAATATGTTTGTGTTTAAATATAGAGTTCACTTAAAACCTTATTATATCGAGCAAAATTAAATATTTTTCATTTTTTTTTATCAAGACCGTCTCATTTTAAATTTTTGAAACTAAAACAACAAGTAACTGCCGCTAAGCTTTTTAATTTTAAGATTTAAGAAAAAAAACTTTTGTCATTATTTTTCGTTGGCAGGCCCTTGTATTTTGAACATAGTTTATGTTTCATTTTGGTGTATATAATTTATAAAAGGAATGCGCTTTTCGATTTTTTCTTATCATAAAATGCTTTACTTCTACTAACTTCTGTACTAAGCGGTGGCGGTCCGGACCACCAAGGCCTATCATTAACGGCGCCCCTTCTTAAAGGCAGTCATGTTGCAGCTGGTTCTTTCCTCACGTGTCGAGGAAGGAGGCCGACAAACTCCTCCTAGCCGAGAGCAACCCCCGGGGTACTTTCCTCGTCCGACCGGCGGAGCACAACCCTCACGGCTTCAGCTTAAGCGTCAAAGATTGGGAAGACGGAAGGGGCTACCACGTGAAACATTATAAAATAAAGCCGCTCGACAAAGGCGGCTTTTATATCGCCACAAACCAAACTTTCCCGAGCTTACCCGCGCTCGTCATGTCGTATACGAGTAAGTATGTTTTCTTTGTTATATTAAGAACTAGCTGACCTGGCAGACTTCGTAGTACCTCAATCGATAAATAAAAGACCTAAATTTTTGTATAATATAAACTTAAAACAAACAAAAGGAATCCGTCCGACGGCGGACATATCAAAGGAAAAACAAAATTGTTATTTTTATTTAATTCGGAACATTTTCATATTTATCTACCCTTCTCTGGACTTCCACAAATAATTCAAGACCAAAATAAGCCAAATCGGTCCAGCCGTTCTCGAGTTTTAGCGAGACTAACGAACAGCAATTCATTTTTATCAGTCAGCTATCAGCTAGTCAGCTAGTCATATATATTTTTATTTGTTTTAACTAATTATGTTTAAATTTATATTTACACATATGCACTTGTTTCTGAAATAAATCATTTTCATTCATTCATTACCGTCATATTAATAGCTTCGATCATTTCAATTCATTGACGTAGACCGCGTTATCTAAATAAAATATGCTAATTGTTTCCAGAAAATGCATTAGGGCTGTGTCACGTCCTGGCCCGGCCTTGCCCGAAGCCCGAGCCGCAGATCTGGGACCTCGGGCCCGAACTGCGGGACAAGTGGGAGATACCCAGGATGGAAATACAACTCATTAGGAAACTCGGTCAAGGAAACTTCGGCGAAGTCTATTACGGGAAATGGAGGAATAATATTGAGGTAACACGGGTTGATTATAGGAAAAGTTTCATTGCTACGATTGGAAGACTTAGGGTTTGAATATTGTTTAGAACCTGTCTCATATGCGCAAGCATTCCTGAAATCATCAGTTTATGATGTAACTTCTTCTATTCATTTATATTCGCCTTTTACCGACCGTTTCCTTAAACATTTCCTTTGAAGTCGTCGTGGCCTAAAGGATAAGACGTCCGGTGCATTCGTATCGAGCGATGCACTGGTGTTCGAATCTCGCTGGCGGGTACCAATTTTTCTAATGAAATACGTACTCAACAAATGTTCACGATTGACTTCCACGGTGAAGGAATAACATCGTGCAATAAAAATCAAACCCGCAAAATTATAATTTGCGTAAACACTGGTGGTGGTAGGACCTCTTGGGAGTCCGCACGGATAGGTACCACCGCCCTGCCTATTTCTGCCGTGAAGCAGTAATGCGTTTCGGTCTGAAGGGGAGGGCAGCCGTTGTAACTATACTGAGATCTTAGAACTTATACCTCAAGGTGGGTGGCGCATTTACGTTGTAGATGTCTATTGGCTCCAGTAACCACTTAACACCAGGTGGGCTGTGAGCCCGTCCACACATCTAAGAAAAAAAAAAAATCAAAAAAAAAAAACAGTTTTTCGAAGAAAAGGAATGTTCGCCATTATACTATGTGCCAACTCACACCAAAATGGAAGGCCTAACTAAACCGATATCTCTTTGATTTGTTCATTTCATTTAACTTGATTCGTGATTCACAAAATTTAGATTTTACTATTCTTGTGGAAAGAGCTCACCGCTGCTCATAGAAATCGGCAAAGGTATAAAAAAAAGTCTACCTCTAGACTCCTAAGTTTTTATATTAAAATGTTGCAGGTTGCCGTGAAGACTCTCCGCGAGGGCACAATGTCGACTCAGGCCTTCCTGCAAGAGGCGGCGATCATGAAGAAGTTCCGGCACAACAAGCTGGTCGCCCTGTACGCCGTCTGCTCGCAGCAGGAGCCGGTCTACATCGTCCAGGAGTACATGAGCCGCGGCTCCTTACTGGAGTTCTTGAGGAACGGCGAAGGGAAGTTCCTCCAGTTCGAGGACCTAGTTTACATAGCGGCCCAGGTCGCCTCCGGTATGGAGTATCTCGAATCGAAAATGCTGATTCACAGAGACCTGGCCGCTCGGAATGTGCTCATCGGGGAGAACAATACCGCCAAAATATGCGACTTCGGTCTCGCCAGGGTGATAGAAGACAACGAATACTGCCCCAAGCAAGGCTCTAGGTTCCCAGTCAAATGGACCGCCCCCGAAGCTATAATATACGGGAAGTTCTCCATCAAAAGCGACGTATGGTCGTATGGCATTCTCTTAATGGAGCTTTTCACATACGGGAAGATTCCGTACCCGGGACTGCACGGAAAGGACGTCATCGACAAAATCGAGATCGGCTACCGGATGCCGAAGCCGATAGACGTGTACCTGCCGGACGCCATATACGGGCTGATGCTGCAGTGCTGGGACGCGGTGCCTGAGAAGCGGCCCACCTTCGAGTTCCTCAATCATTACTTCGAATCGTTTACGGTGACCAGCGAGATGCCGTACAAGGAGGTACACGATTGATGCTGTGATATAGTGACGTATAGGACGTTCGTTCTCTGACATTACGAGGGTAGGTGTGTATCGATTTAAATACGCGTTAGTACGATCAATATCGATACGCTAATCGATTAAGCGAATGCTTCTTACAATGATTTTAATAGCGGTGGTAGGACGTGACGTAACGAGCTATAATAGTATAACGATTAATAAAATGCGATTGAGACTTTGGCCTCACTTCTCAAAGTGGTTGGCGGCGTTCACAGCGCACTCTCGGTAAGCCGTCATGTACCCACATCGACGCCTAAAACGATAATTTAGTTCATTGATGTTCGTTGTTGTAATAAATAATGCTGCTGTTTTATAAATCGATTGAATAGTGTTGCGATTCGCACTCGACGCATCATCGACTAGAGAGACGTTTAGTAATTTTTATACTCTGATGCAATATTTATATAACAATACAGGTATGTGTGAGCTTGGCCGGTGGCTTTCACTCCCATTAATGGGTTCGTTGAGAAATTTGATAAGATATTTAGCCTAAGCCGAATCGACTCGCATCGTTTTGTACCAAAACACATTTACAATAATATATTATAATTTATATTCCCTGAAAACATTATAAAACTGTAAATTGACGTGAATTATTTTACAAAAACGAATCTAAGCGAACTTTAAACTTCTCAAGCACAGCCCTATTAAAAACACCATTTTGGAATTTTTATAAATCTTAAAAACTATCGACATCACCATGAGATTTTTATTAACCCTTAAATTCACTTTTTTTTATTTATTGTTAATTATTTTTATGTTGTAAAATATTTGTAGATTTAGATTAGAGAAACGATGAAAATTGAATTGATGTTTGAAAATTCTAAAAAAAAGTACATAATTGAGTCGACTATTATCAAAGCCGGCAATGTGACTTTTGGACAATTATTGTTAAATCAGAAAAACGAATTATTGACTTTGTATTCCATTGGCAGTCACAAAACTCTTCTGATCGACATCTTAGATAAATAACAGGTTAAGTATTAACCTTTATTTAATGCAGGTTTTGAACCGTATTCTTTGAAGGAGACGATTATATTCAAATCAATCTGTATTGACATATCAATAAAAAACTTTTGTCCAAATGCACAGATTGCCGCCTTTGATAATAGACGACTCATATATCAAAATGAAAATGATTTACGTCACAGTGAATTTAAGGGCGTTGTGCTGATTTGCAAATTCTAATTACCCCTATAAATACCTGACGAAAAAATATGTATACAATGACTACATTCTACTTTATAAGTATTTATATAGTATGTCGGTCACTATGTTATTTATGTAGCTTTAGCACCATTAAGATATTAATTTGCGTCACTATAAAATTCGAATTTCGAGAAACAAAATACGAAATCATATTCTAAAAATATATTTGTGATATTCTTCGCGTAAGGTCCGACCCCCGTACAGATCTCAAGCCCCGACGATGGAAGTTCCAACTTGACTCGACTTAAAAGATTTAATTTAGTATACACCCGAAATATCTCTTGTTTTTGACATTTATAAACAAAAACACTATTTTGACTATATATATTATATTTATAAAATACAAAATGAAATCAAAAAAACATTTCAATAAACAAAAAACTCGTGTCCTTGTCGTTGCTCCTTTTATCTGGCGTTTATATAAATATAAATCGTATTTATTTACAATTTCATTGGCTTATTATTTTTGCGGGGAAATCTAATTATTTTTCTGAAATAAAAACAGCCACAGTTTATCTTTATAACATCAGCTATAAGCCAGCGAATCACATTAAAATCGTTTAGAGGTTCGATAAAAAATATATTATATTTTATTGTGTTATAATAAGCCTTCGTAAAAAGTTTACATTTAATGTTTTTTTTGGTTTATTTGTACAGTTAATATATACAGACGCCGTCTGCTGTTTTACGCAGTCCTAGTGTGTCCAAATTTATTTGATTTACTATGAATTTTTCTCTTATAAATGTTGAATAAAATTTCAGGTTACATATGTGTGTACTAAATTAAACCTTTTTTTTTNTTATTGTGTTATAATAAGCCTTCGTAAAAAGTTTACATTTAATGTTTTTTTTGGTTTATTTGTACAGTTAATATATACAGACGCCGTCTGCTGTTTTACGCAGTCCTAGTGTGTCCAAATTTATTTGATTTACTATGAATTTTTCTCTTATAAATGTTGAATAAAATTTCAGGTTACATATGTGTGTACTAAATTAAACCTTTTTTTTTACTCACTAAATATTCATTTCACACGATTCAATGATTGTAATCGATTGCGTCCAATTTTATATTTATTTACCGACTGAATCCAACCCTTTAAATGGCTCCATGTGTTTAAAAATAGTACGACTTAGAAAGGCACAAATGTAAACAAATAGAAAAAAACATAGAACTGCAATGATCACGCGAAATCTCCATTTTTTTAATTTGCATTTTTTTCTTTTTTAATCAGAGAAACCCTTTTACTATCTAAAGTTACGACGGATGAGATTACTAAGTTCAATTAACTTATATTTTCCTAACGAAATTAGATTTTTGTTTTTGACGTATTTATTTCGTCATAGTTTTTGCGACCGTAGTGTAAAGTTAAATGGTTATTTAACTATCCACACAATTATAACGTAAAATGAAAAATAAAAGATTATTAGTATGAGTATTTTTTCAGATATTAGCAAAATCAATAATTCCAATTCCAAGTATTCAAATGTACCGTCGAAGATGCTCACTTTTGTTTTAATTTAACAACAAAGGAGTCCCAATAACACGTAAAAGACAAATAAATATAGCTTTAGGACTATATACCAAAGAATTATTTGTACATTAAGAACGAAAATAGCTGTAGATTAAAAAAAGAAAAACGAAACTTATTTAATTTCTAACCTATATAGCCCTTAATTGTTTGTATACTGACCAACCAGGCCACGTTGTGACCAAGTCGTAATACATACAATTAATTAGATATTGTTTCGTCACAGTTTCATGTTAAAATGCTTTAAGTGATCTTGTATAAAAAAAAAACAACGTAAAAAAACGAAAGAAAAATAGTGTCTTAAACATTCCAATAATTATTCAGAGACGTTGGACACTTTTGTAAGAAGTACCGTTTAGATATTAAGATTTTGTACATACAATGAAATAAATGTCATTTATATTAAAAAAATAAAAACTTTTTTATTTTATTTTATCACTACAGCGTGTTGGAGATATGGTATTGTTCTTTTGATTTTAAGATGTAATTTTGCGTTGTGGCAACATTGGTACCGTCAAACTAGCCAACATTGCCCACATTTTATAACACTAGATATTTCAAGATTTTTGTATGTAGCCCAATACATCTTTGCTTATCTATGGCAACAATAAGTTCATATGCAGGCATGTGTTTACTTAAATTTAACATTAGTCATGATTTTCTCGATAATATAAATAATTTTCAGGGCGGGTAAAGTTATCTAGACTTTTGGCCAACATTACCCACCTTGAATTTTAGCACAACAATAACACTTAGATGAATGCCATAAGAACCAATAAAAACATTTTGGCAATATAAGCGATCGCCCAAAATGTTTACTCAATATCATAAATATTTTCTTACTAAAATGAAAGGGCAATGTTATCTTGACATTTTTTCTCTTTCCCATACAAACGGTACGTAGCGATTTAAAAGTGCTAGGGTTGTCACATTTGAGTAATCTTCACAGAGTGTCGCAATAGGTGAGTAACATAAATAATTTTTAAAGTGCAGTTGTTTATTAAAGACTGGGATCAATTAAAATCAAACTCATTTTTATAACAGGAGACTTAAAATCTGATAACTAAATTTAAGTTTTGTACTGCCTGGACCTAAATTCACGTCTCGACCTTCTTTATCAAGTACGCGATTTATGTTTGTTTCTTCTGAAATACAAAATTGCGAATTATTATAGGTAATAAAGAATAAAATAAAATAAAAAATTCTTCTGTAGATATTTTTATTCTATTCAAGTTGGGGTACATAGCCAAAAGGATTGCGACTTTTAAGTGTAGTTGGGACCGCAAAGTTCTCGAGTTCGACTGCGTACCGGGAGACGTAACATGGGTAGGCCTCTCACAAGATGCACTGACGATCCAATAAGATTCTCGGGGATCTACTGGATGTAAGCAGCGCAGGATCGATCGTTTTGGTGAGACTTGGAGGAAGCCTATGTCCAGCAGTGGACGTCTGTGGGCTGAAAGATCCATAGGGATACATAAATTCTCAACAGTAGTAGTAATATTCTCAATAAACATTATAGACATACACGTACATGAACCCTGAAAATATAACACTCTTTTTTTTAACAGTTGCGTAAAAGAAAACCAAAGCGTCAACCCTAGATGTTTTTTGACGGTGGGCAATGTTGACAATGATGCGGCTGCACATTTCTGTGTAACTTTGCCCGTCATCATAACTTTTGTTATACTTGAGCTACAGCAATGAATCTATCAGCAAAATACTAAGCACATTGTTTTACATAACAAATAATTTATTAAACTTACCGGTGTTTTCGTTATAATGCATTTACTTCAAAAAATTCACAGTAATTGGCCCGCAAAAACTCATCCCTTTTTTGACAAGTGCCGACAGGTAACTGTGTCAAGTTAGGAACGCACGCGCTATCCTATGATGTCACAGGTATATTTGATTCTCTACCAATGTTATTTATAAACGCTGTAGTAAGTTTGGTACTTTTTATGATATTAGTTGATTTTCTTAGAAAGTGTGTTTTGGGCAAAGTTTACCCTCGTGGCAAAGTTGGCGTATTTGACGGTATTTGTTTTACACAGCACCATAAAAACTGTTCTCGATAGCGCAAAAGTTAACTCAAATTTTTATGGAGTTGGAACGTTTGCCTACGTTTGCCGCTAGGGGCGCTGTGCTAACTGCATACCGATGTTACATCACGTACCAAAACAGTCCTTTTATTTTTTTAAACTTACAATCTCAAATCCAATACATTAAAAGGAATTGTAAGTCTTGTGGTATCAGTGATTAAGGTCGAATATATAATACTAGCAATACAAAAATACATTATTTGCGACATACGACAGCCGGGATGTGCTCTGAGGAATTGTTTGAGATGATCCCTTCACCTTCATCACCTTTTTATCATCGCACCTCCCGCCATCAGAGCAGAGTTCATCCATATTACCTGGAACCGCTGCGTCCATCGACAGTGCGTTTCCAGAGGTCTTTTTTGCCGCGTACCATCCGGCGATGGAATGAGCTCCCCTCCACGGTGTTTCCCGAGCGCTATGAAATGTCCTTCTTCAAACGAGGCTTGTGGAGAGTATTAAGCGGTAGGCAGCGGCTTGGCTCTGCCTCTGGTATTGCTGAGGTACATGGGCGACGATAACCACTCACCATCAGGTGGGCCGTATGCTCGTCTGCCTACAAGGGCAATAAAAAAAAATGTGTCACTGATAAGTTGTTACAGATAATTAAAAAAATGTTTAAGAGTACAGAGCACTTTTTTATTGTTTTAAAACTGTGTGACGTCATCAGTACGCCTTCGCACAGATAAATTATATTTTTGAATAAAAAAATAAATACATTTTTACACCGTATCAGTGTACATTTTAGTTTTCATCTTAAGATATCTGTATTCTGAATCGTAATAGTTCCTTATTTGTTGCCAGCAACTAGACAGTGAGGCCGGTACGTAGTGAGGATGCTTTTTACTGTAGTGATTTATGTAAATGGCTAAAACCACTAGAGATCCCGACCAAACGTACCTGAGAAATACAAAGTTGTTATTACATTATGTGGCGGTCACCATCCACCAGCCATCACAGAACACAAGATATTTGACAGATGCTTGAATCTCGCTTACGACGCGACGTTTTCAAGATAAGCTTGCATATATAAAAGTTCTGAAAAAACATTCAGACCGGTCTACCGGTCGGTCTATCGAGCAATATCACTTGTGGAAGAACTTCCCACTGTCTTATACTTTCAAAAATTACATGGTTGAACGAGTGCACGGCCCAACTGATGTAAAGTTGTAGCCGTTCGCGGCAGAAATAGGCAGACCGGTGGTGTCTACAATACGCCCTTACCACTAGTATATTAGCCAATTGGTGATTGCAATATACTACGCTGAGAAATTAATCACCTTTCACGAGACTTACGGGAAAATATGGCTGGTGCCTACACAGCTAAAAGATCCAACCAGACAACACTGATCTTCACTTTTATTATATTTAAAAAAGGTTATGTGAGAAAAATAAAAAGAACAAAAATTAATGCAGATTGCCTTAAATGTGAAGCAAATCTGAAATTAGACGTTGTCTGTGTGAGCCAAAAGCCAGACTACCTTCAAAGGAGATAAAAAAAAACGTCAAAATTAGACTTAAAAAAAAACTTAACCTAATAATATACTCACTGGAAGACAAAAGGCTTGCTGAACAACAAGAATGATATGATTATCGAGAGAGCTTTCCTCATCGTGGTGACGGTAACGGCCACCGTCGCACCGCATATCCTCACCAGCGTCAACACCGCTTGCAGGCCCATATAACCGCTCAGACTTAGAAGAAATATGTTCCGGTACATTTCAACTGGTGTCTAGAAATTAAATCCCAATCATTATATTTGCAAAGGAATCCCGTATAATTTTATTTTCCCTACCTATTTGCGGGTAGACTAAGGGAGGGCCGGGTAGGTGAGCTCACGGACTCGACCTGAAAGAACTTGCTAACACTAGCCCTAGCTAGAGTAGTGCTTCGCAGAATCTACCACCTGATTGGAATTACGACTCACTGAGAAAAACCGGTTAGAAACTTAGTGGATTATGTCTATGTTATCCCATCTACTGTTATGTGGTTACCAGAGTATACACACCACCTAAATAAACACAAGAGAACCAATTCTCTACCGTGTTGTACAACAGATTTCCCACCCATCCAACCGTAATAAATGAGGGGTTCATTGCAGAAATAGGCAGAATGGTGGTAGCAGCCTCTGAGTACCAATAATACACCCTACCACCACTAGATGACGGACAAGAAGCTCATATTAACGCTTCGGCTCGGTCCAAAATAATAAATATCCAAAATTAATATTCAAAGTACATACCTCAGCACAATAAGCAAATCCGTCAACTAGTATACCACTGAATACAGTAATACAGACAAGGTAAACACATGCAATCGCATATGAATAGAAAACAACTTCGTTATTTGAAGCTTGGTACTGTTTCATTGCTTTCTCTTGTACGTTTCCGATTATTGCGTCGCATAGTAATGCTAACGATATAACTAGAACGCCAATCAAATCGAAATTCGGTGATGTGCTGGAGTCAGCTGAAAATATGATTGTAGTTTATTATTATCATTTTATGTAAAAAAAATATTTAAGGCAATTTTTTAGGCAAAAACTTCTTTTTTTCTTCAAAAAACGTCTTCAAACAAGGCTTGTGGAGAGTATTAAGCGGTAGGCAGCGGCTTGGCTCGGCCCCTGGCATTGCTGAAATCCATGGGCGACGAAAACCACTCACCGGTAGGTGGGCCATATGCTCGTCTGCCTACATGAGCATTAAAAAAAAAAAAACGTTTTGCAGTCCGACCACACCAGCAGTCGGCGACACCACTCTAGTATCTTTTGCTTAGTTTGCATTCTGTTGGTGATTTGTTTACGTAACAAAAAATTAAAAACGTCAACAAAGAAAAGTTGGCCAATGAAAATATAAACAAACAAGTTTTGTTTTTATGTATGTATGTATATATTCGAAATTTCATGAAAGTACAGGGTTGAGAACTTATGAGAACTTCACAAGTTACTTAAAGCTGAGTAGTCACTGTCATTCATGGACATCAAGCAATGCGAAAAGCACAGCCAAGCCGCTGCCTACTTCTGAATAAGCTGAGTGGTGACGGTTCAATAACAATGATTAAATTGTTTACATACGGTCAGACATATTGTGAATATGGCACCACCATCCTGCCTATTTCTACAAAGCAGTATACATTCCGGCTTACAGAGTGGCAAAGTTATTATACATTATTTTAGTGTTAGGTGTATCGTGAGCTTCTCAAGCTGTCTAAAACGTTAATTTACACATTGTTTTTTTTTTTTATTGCCCTTGTAGGCAGACTTGCATACGGCCCACCTGATGGGGAGTGGTTACCGTCGCCCATGGACTTCAGCAATGTCAGGGGCAGAGCCAAGCAGCTGCCTACCGCTAACACATTTGTGTTCACGAACATGTCATTATGCCATTATGATTATTTCACTTATAATCACTAGCAACCATGGAGGCATGTGATCAAAATTCAACTAGAGGCACTGTAATTAACTAATTAACAACAAAAATTACATGTCCATTGTTACTTACAATAAAACACTTACCCAGAGTAAACATAGTCAGTCCTACGCACATAACAATTGCCGCTACATAATCCAAAAACGAATAACGTTTCCTCATTATGATAATACTACCAATCATAACTGGTATAAGTTTACAGCTCTTGAATATCAACTGAGTTGGATAGTTCAAATAACTTAAAGCTAAATTCGAAAATGACATTGTCCCTAATGTCAATGCAGCTAAAACTGCATAAGTTTTTAGTGGAACTCTGAAAATAAAGACCATCAAATTTTTTTTTTACATGTGGCTATACAATTTTATTCTCATGTTGCTTTATGTAATAATGCGGAACACTTTAGAGGATAGACAATATGTGTAAAAGAGAGAAGAGAAGAGAGAGACAATATGGGAGTGAGCAAAGAAATGGTATATGATAAAGGAGTATGGAAGGAGAAAACATGTTGCGTCGACCCAAGGTGACTGAAAGAGGCAAGAGAATGATGATGATGTGGCTGTACAGGTTAACTTCTGCTAGTGTTAAAAGTGTGACTGAATTAAACTACTAATTTATGAAAATCTTTGAACACAAGTATTTTTTTGTTTAGTTCAGCACACTTCACTATATTTACAAACAATCTTATCAATCTCGATAAGACTAGTGATAACGAAAACTAATTAAACCCACTCACTTCCTTTTGATAGGATTTCTTATCCATGATTCTCCGTAACTCAATAACATCGTAATCATAAATTGCACTAAGGTTATATACAAACTGACTGGCTTCACTTCCGGTTTTGCAAATATTAATTCTAAGAAGTATCCATAAGCTAAATAGAATATAAAAACGAATATCGAACAAGACAGGAACTGAGTTAATTGACTGTAATTTGTTATGTCAAAGCATAATATATTGATTTCTGTTTTTGATGTTCTGCTGTTCTCATCATCTATCCTTATGAAGGTTTCCTTCACAGAATTCATTTTATCTGATGACGTTTCCATTACACATCACTTATGTTTGTTTCCTGGAATTAAAAATTGTAATTTAATAATCTATGATATTCAATTGGATGAGAGTTATGATTTTAGAAGTTTGTGAACTATTTATGTAGGGCAATATATATTAGATTTTATCTTTCTCAACGTAGAAATTAGAGAGTAATGCAGTTAACCTTAAGAATTGCAACTGAAACTTTCCTCTGTTGACTGAGAAAGCTTATATGGCATATTGTGAGCCCGTTGTTAGGTATCACTATCTTGACTATTTGTAAACTAGTTATTCGTTCCAGTTTGAAGGATGGGACAGTCACTACTTAATGCAATTGAGATTTTAACCTCAAGGATTTCCAAAATATCCAATATGCAATATAATAAAAAGTGGTAAAAGATCTCATTAGTAAATTTTAATTCAGTTATTGTTTAGTATAATTTCTTCTCTAAAAAAATTTTTTGTATGGGTGTATAAATCACAGAAATCTTATTTGACGTCAAATAGGACATTTTTTGATGTTTACTCTAAATACCTTATGAATTTAAGCTATAACTCTGGAATAAAAATGTTTACTCACTTTTTTAATGGTTAACACTTTATTTAATTTTTCGTTTTCCTTCAGGATTTAATCATCAAAAACAGAATATTTATTTATTTTTGGACATAAAATACCTATTTTTATACCTTTTTTTTGTAATTCACTTAACTTACTGTTAATGTAAAGGCAGATATGTTTTAAATATTCATGTTGCTTAGTGGCTTAATTTTTAAATTTGTAAATAAATTAAATTCAACATTTTTACGTACCATGACATGGGGTAAATTGGGATCCTGGGGTAAATTGGGACAAACCTGCGGAAGATTCTCAAAGTACCTGTAGCACGGAATCTACCTAATTTTGTTTATGTTAATATTTATCAATGTATAGAAGAAAAACCAAGTTAACTATGGAAGTACTAAATATGAGTTAAGTTGGTCCCAAAAATTCGTCAAATTAAATNCACTATGTTGTGTATTGTACTTAAATTATGGATTGTATTCATCATTTCGGTCCATATAAATAATTATATGGCACCTACCTATATATCGCAGTACTGCGAGTTGACAACCCTTACAAATATCCCAATTTAACCCTTAACCGTGTCAATTTACCCCGGACGCTGGGTAAATTGGGACGGCCATTATTTTACCGATTATTTCTTTAAAATGAATAATTAAAATTATGTAACGGTTTTTATCACCTAGGTACGTTCAAGACTCAACTTATTTCTTTGGTTGAGCAGTGACTATTTAATTGGAACTATTTTAAAATTCAATCTGAAGGTCGATTTTGTCCCTATTTACCCCATTGTACGGTAAATTGTAGTTTCGGGTCACTGCCAGTATAATCTATGGTCACTGCCACCGCAGACTTCTTTTTTTTATGGATTTTATGACCTGGCAACTAAGACCTTTAAGTCATGTCTTATTTCTTATTTTAATACATATATTTAGATTCTTATTTTTATGAAAAATGATCATATGGAGTGAAATGAAATGAAGATCATTAATTTGAGACATTAATTAACTGGGATGAAATAAAATGAAATGACATGAGATGAGATGAGATGAAATGAGATGATATGGGATGAAATATAATCTCAGTAAAATGGTGGTCATTTACTGAAATTTTTTCAGTAGACTTTTCGGAGGTCCCGAGAAGTTACGTCTAGCGACTTTCTTTCATTTTCCCACATTTGTGCACTTTTTAAGATAATAAATAGTTAATAAACCACCGTTATTACACATTTAAACCTGAAGAAACACCAAATAGAAAACTTAAACAAATCACACAACTTCACTTCTCGCGTTTCCGCCAAAAAGTCACCGCAGACTTTTTTGTTTATTCATATATAATAGATGACTTATACCGAACTGTAACTGATAATAACAATAATAGGAAAAAAAAGAATAAATCGAATCGAATTGAATGGAGAGAGAGAAAGAAAAATACATATTAATAATGATTTTTATTGAAATATGTGATGAACTGTGAACATTAAAGTAACAGAACATGTACGTACATAAGTAACGCATTTTGACATTCATTCTTCGTTGGATGTGCCAAAGAAACCTAGTCCATAAAGCTAAACATTTTGTATTCAATCATTTACAATGTTTTTCTCGTATGTTTGATATAATGTAAAAGAAATCATAAAGATTAATATCATTTTTGTATATTTTTATCGCGAGAGCTTTGGCATATTTACCACGAGGATCATTGGATGTTGAGCATTAAGAACTATTTCTAGATAGATACTGTTTGCAACAACCAATTACTTAAAATATTAATAAGGCTGAATTTAGTTGTCTTATTCTTCTTCCTATTCGTACACTCTTGACAGAGTGGTCGTGGTCATGCATCAGTCGGATCCTGCGATACCGATTCTCTCGCGATGCGACGCCATGTGGCACGATGTTTCGCAGAGTGAGAGCAATCATTTATATTGGAGTGAGTCAAAGATTTTATAAGGTCGGTCCATCGTGTTGGAGATCGTCCGTGAGATCTTTTGCCCTTGATTTTCCCTTGCACCACCAACCACTCAATGGAGTCCTCATTACGAGTGATGTGCCCGAAGAACTTGAGGATTCGTATTTGGACTGTTGACGATAGTCTATCCTTGATGTTGAGCTCTTTCAGGATCGAAATGTTGGTACGGTGCGCGGTCCACGGAATTCTGAGGAGACGTCTCCAACACCACATTTCCAGTGCGTCAATCTTAGGACGGTCTTGCATCCTCAGCGTCTACGTCTCAGCCCCATACAGAAAGATTGGAAAGACCAGGCATCTCATTAACCGAACTTTTGTGTTTTTGGTTATTCTGCGGTCTCTCCAAACCTTTGTTAGCCTCTCAACTGAGGATCTTGTCACGGCGCAACGTTTTCGGATCTCATCTTCGCAGCCTCCGTTGGTGATAGTGGTATACATACCTAGCTATTAACTACCTCGCATCCCGCATGTTGGACTTCCGGTTGGTTGATGTTAGCACGATCTACGATCATCATTTTGGTCTTATCACGATTGATCGCAAGTCCAAAATCCAACGCTGTGGTCTCCAGCCGGCGAAGAAGCACCTCGATTTCGTCTCTGGTTGACGCCAAGAGGGTAGTATCATCGGCGTATCTCAAGTTTGATATTTTCCGACCACCAACGGATATTCCTTTATCCCAATCTTCAAGAACTATGCGCATTATATACTCTGTGTATATATTAAATAAAAGAGGAGATAGTATGCAGCCCTGCCTAACGCCTGCCTGTGTGCTGAAGCGTTCGGAGTCAATACCGTCAACACGAACAGCGGCCGTGCCATCTTCGTACAGACGTCTGATGGTGTGTACAAGATGTTGCGGTACACCCATTTCCGTCAGTACCAACCGCAGCTTCCACCACTTGACGGTATCAAAAGCTTTTCGGAAATCCACGAAGCACACATATAGGCTAATATTAAATTCTCTGGCCTTTTCTACAATTTGCCGCATTACGAGTAGTTGCTCTCTTGTGCCTTGACCACAAGAGTTGTCTTATAGAAAAACTGAATTTCATCTATTTTTTAATTTACAAAAAATACTAATAATGGGGTTGGCCGGTTAAAGCTTTTCTCAGATGTCGCCAGCGTAGCTTGTTCCCTTGTCACAGAGAGCCGTCATTTTGTGTGTTTTGCGTTCGTGATATTTCGGCATTTTGTGACTTTGATACGGTTCTTATTACTTTCTAAGTAGTGGTAAACAGTTTTACAACATGTATTCCAACTGGATAGTTCAAGAATTAAAGGAGGAGTTGAGAAAACGTGTTGCATCTTTACGAAGAAAAAAAGTGGATTTTGTCGAAAGGTACAATGTTGATGTTTTATTTTAACTTAGAAAACTTCTCTCAAACTGTTTCCAGTAGCTATTATAATAATAATATTAAATTGTGTACCTTAGGAACTTTATTCCTTATAGCATGTGCAAAAATAATTGCTCATATTACACACATTACCTACCAACTAATGTATTATTTTACTTTTTCAGATTAGACCTACATGACCAAAATTTTAATTTTGAAACAAAATGAAAAAAATGCTCTAGCAAAATATGCTAATATATATGATTTGCTAGTGGAGCCATGTGGCATTTTCAATAGCCAAGAGCGCCCATATCTTGCTGCATCTCCTGATGGTGTGTTGGGCGAAGAAGCTATAATTGAAGTGAAATGTCCATACGCTAGCAGAAAACATGAAATAAATATATCAACGGTGCCTTACTTAGAACAATGTAACGGGATATTGTCTCTAAAAAAACCTGCCCATATTATTATCAAATCCAAGGACAGTTATACTGCTCAGGCAAAACATACTGCAACTTGGTCATTTACACCTACAAGGACATCAAAGTGATTTATGTTGAAAAAGACAATAATTTTATAAATAATATGTTAAATAAATTAGATATCTTTTATGAAAATATTTTCAAAGAAGCATTGTATGAAAAATATCTGTATTATAACTATACACACTTGTCGAAATAAAAATTCAGGAATATTTTTAATTATTTTTATTGACAATTCCTTCTCTAAAATTACATAAGTAACTTCTCTACTTTTTGTTTCTTCAGAAACGGGTTTCATATTCCATGAAAATATAGATGGTACAGCACCTTTCTTCAGATATTTATGTTAATGTTTGACACCTGCAACACAAAGAATAAATTTAAATATACTATCACAAGGAAACCTGACCATAGTTTAAAAATATTTGTTATTGCAATGGATGCAGCGATTTAGATAGAACTTTCAATAGTAACAGCTGATAATGAACAACAGCTCATGAGGAATGTGTTTCCTCCAGTCTGATTTTGTGTTTGTTAAAAGGTTTCTTACAGCATAAATCTACTTGCAAAATATGTTAGCAACTAATAGTGTGCCTAACTAATTATTATTGGATTTTTTAATAAGAGAACAAAGATGTGTGCTAAGCCTAGTCATGCATTATATATATTTGACAAAAAGAAGCATACCTGTGTATTTACTAATGTTTTCATAGTCAGATTCCACAAAGTGTTTACGACATAACCTCGAACTTTTTGTGGGAGTACTTTTTTCGCGTCAAATGGCCTTTAACTACAGTCTTCCAATTTTCTTGTCCTTCGGGAATTGATGTACTCCAATTTTTGAGCATATTTGTACAAAACAACGCGTCATTGTGCTTAAAATAATTTTTAATCAAAAATTCCAATACAAATATTGAATGTTATGGGAACAATGCACACCAGCGCCACTTTGACAGTTGCCAACCCCATTGTGTGAAATTGTTATATTAGTATGCTTCCACAAGAAAGCATTGAGTTTTCCATGTCCTAGATGTTTTCTGAAATTGGCAGCACTGGTTGCTGCTGTCAAACAAAGAGAAAATGTAATATGTTCGGTACCTACCTACCTACTTACAAGTTTTTCTATCTTCGATAAAAAGTGTCGTCAATTTGTGTTTTGTGTTGTTTTAGAGCTGGGTTTCGCTCTGTGTGGTGTCATAACTATTAGTTACAAACTCAATAAATAACTTAATAGAAGAATTCCAAGCACCAGATTTTGTTATTCGACAGTGTTGATCAAGTCGACAAACTGGATTATAGATAATGATGGACTCGGACTCGTCCGGCGCCGACTTCTGTCGGTTTTGTCGCTCGGAGGCAACGTCGGATCGGCCTTTATTCCACCCTTGCATCTGTACCGGTTCGATTAAATGGATCCATCAGGAATGCTTGGTGCAATGGATGAGATACTCTCGGAAAGAAATCTGCGAGCTTTGCGGTCATCGCTTTTCTTTTATGCCGATATATTCTCCGGACATGCCTCGCAGGCTGCCTATCCGCGATGTAGTGGGCGGCCTGGTGATGTCCGTTGCGTCAGCCGTAAAGGACTGGCTCCATTACACCCTGGTGGCTTTAGCCTGGCTCGGTATCGTACCGCTTACGGCTTGCAGGACATATAGGTGCTTGTTCTCAGGCTCTCTGGGACCAGTTATTTCCTTACCATTTGAGATTGTTTCTGCTGAGAATCTTGCCAAAGATGTTTTCTCAGGATGTTTTATTGTGACATGTACACTTTTCTCTTTTATTGGACTTGTGTGGTTGAGAGAACAAATAATGCACGGTGGAGGTCCAGACTGGATGGAAAGAGAAAATATACCAGTTCCCCCACCAGAGGATTTTGTACAGCCTGAGAATAATAATGAAAGAGTTAATGAAGTTGGAGGGGATGACGGTGGAGCTCGTGAAGAAGGTAACGGAGTTGGTAACGGTAATGGTGAAGGAGGTGGTGAAGAACCGTTAGTGGGCGATGAAGCGAATTGGAATCCAATGGAATGGGATAGAGCTGCTGCTGAAGAATTGACATGGGCCCGACTATTAGGTCTTGATGGGTCCATGGTCTTTCTAGAGCATGTGTTTTGGGTGGTATCCCTCAACACTCTGTTTATAGTGGTGTTTGCATTCTGTCCTTATCACATAGGACGACTTGGGGCTGCCTTAGCAGGATTAGCAACAGAAGGTCCTTATGCTGGACCTTTGACAGCACTGGCTGGCTATGTGTTAGTTGGTGCAATACTTGCCGTACTTCATGGCTTAGCTGCTCTGTTTCGGCTAAGGAGTGCCAAGAAAGCACTAGGATTCTGCTACGTTGTAGTCAAAGTTGCACTGCTTTCAGTCATGGAGGTAAACTTGCAGCTATAATTATGATATAAATTATTGATAATTAAATTAAAATTACATTTCCAAATGTGTTTTTAGATTTTTATCTTTAAAAAAAGATATCAATTGACTGCCAAATACAACTTGAGTGTAGTAATACGGTTATTGTTATTTACTCATTAAATTGTTTTTATTAAGGGCAATGAACCATAATAACATCACTCACAGCCAATATAGACAGTTGAAGATGGAAAATTTTATAATAATATGCTTTTTTTAGTCTAGGAGTTTTAAGTTAAGTTGTTAAACAGCAGATACAATCATCATGTCATTAACAATATCTTTAACTGAGCTGTTCTGAGTATGCGTAATATTATATGCACAATTGAAAAGTAAGCGTGATCGTTTTTCATTGTTGCAGGTGGGAAAATATATGCACTAGGCATAAATCAGAAGCCCATAGATTACATAAATTTGTGACTTTTAACTTTGATACAGATAGTTAGAATAGCTGTTCCATCTTTTAAACAGGAGCACATGACAGGATGGTGATACCTCTTCATGCAGCCTGTGAATCCTGCCCATAGGAAAATTCTGAATTAACGTTTGCATATTTCTTACTTTACAGATAGGTGTGATCCCTCTAATATGTGGATGGTGGTTGGATCTCTGTTCTCTCTCCATGTTTGATGCGACACTCAAAGATCGTGAGTCAAGCCTTCAGGCGGCTCCCTGGACATTGATGTTTATACATTGGCTTGTCGGAATGGTCTATGTGTACTACTTTGCGTCATTTGTGCTGTTACTAAGGGAAGTGCTGAGACCGGGAGTGTTATGGTTCTTGAAGAATCTGAACGATCCTGATTTCAGTCCAGTGCAGGTTTGTTATTCCAATTTTAGCAAATTCAAAGTATCAAAACATTCTATAATGAATTGTATCATAAAATTATCCTGAAATGCTCTTGAAATAGCTTGATTGATACTTTCTCGTTTGATTTGTTTGAGAGTTTGATTTCGAACTCAATTTCAAGTATTCATATACAAAGTAAAAAAGTTCATATCATTGCTTATTAGGTTTCAGTTTTCACAAACTGCAAATAACACAAAATGTGCACAATACAAAAAAAAAGTACTACATAATGCAAAAGTTAATTTAACAATATTTTTTAGGAAATGATTCACTTGTCTGTCATGTGTCACATCAGAAGGCTGGTGTTGTCAGCCATGATCTTTGGCTCAGCAGTACTATTCATGCTTTGGATGCCAATAAGGGTCATTAAATATGTGCTGCCCGGTTTCCTGCCATACACTGTCTCCGTTCATTCAGAAGCGCCAGTCAATGAATTAAGTTTGGAACTTCTTCTGCTTCAGGTAAGATTTAAATATGTTGTATGATAAATCATATTTTTTCAGTGTAATGTTTTAAGGAAGTTTAAATGAATATGGTCACTAATTAGTTTTACTAATTGGAAACATTTTGAAACAAATAGGAATAATATCGTCAACCACATTATATCATATAATATGTCGAAGGAAGTATGCCGTTTAAATTGCATACTTTCATTAGAACATGGTGTTGTTCATGAATTATACTTCAGACATTGATATTCTTTGCATTTTACGTTTATTCTGATTTGGAAACATTTTAATATTTTAATTTACGTTGCTTGATGTAATGTTTTAGACTCGTTGCGGCTTATAACTGAGTGTGTATAAATATTCGGAGAACACGCCGCTTCCATATCTTGCTTTGTTTTTAGCTATTTGTGTATAAATGTCCCGAAATCGAAACTAGAAGTAGAACAATTATTTAAAATGCGAATTAATTTTAATGATGATTCACTAAAGTAAAATACTTAATTGTTGCTTTACATTTATAACGGTCCTAAATCAATGAACTCTTACTCTGTACAGCATTAAATAATTCTATTGTTTGTTTAATGTGATTAAGTGATTTTTAAATCTTTTTTTACTAAAACAGTAATCTAATTGAATAAAGGTCATTCGAGGTTATTCGAAAATCCTAAATGTATTTGTATAGTAGCTAAGCGGAGTCGATGAACTTTATGAAAGTCATTTGTATGAGATGAGCGTATGACTTACCTGCTGGTGATTACTTGGCAATGCTAGCAGTTTACATGCTGTTTACTAAGAAGAAATTTTTAGATGCAATAAAAAAAAGGTCCTAATGTTAGAAAACATGTATAAAAGTTTTAGTATAACTTTGCATAAATGTAGCAGTAAAAGCTGTAGGCAGTCGAATATTCATATTTTGTTAGCCAAGCCAAATATGGTGGTAGGACCTCTTGAGAGGCAGGTAACCTGCCTATTTCTGCCGTGAAGCAGTAATGTGTTTCGGTTTGAAGGGTGGGGCAGCCGTTGGAACTATACTTAGAACTTATATCTCAAGGCGCATTTACGTTATGGATGTCTATGGGTTCCAGTAACCACTTAACACCAGGTGGGCTGTAAGCTCGTCCACTCTACTAAGCAATAAAAAAAATCTACAAGTAGTATTGAAGACTGTCAATCGACGATAACAAATAGCTAACCGCCTTTATTTTCGGCAGGTGATCCTTCCAGCTCTTCTGGAGCAATCTCACACGAGGACGTGGTTAAAGATGGCGGTGCGAGCTTGGTGCGTGTGCGCTTCTGGTCTCCTCGGCTTGAGATCGTATCTGCTTGGCGAGATATCGCGACAGGCTGATCCTAATCCGCCCCCACATCTACCTCATCAACTCGGTGTCGCTCATCAAGTAAGCTGATTAATTGTTTTTATAGACAGTGTAATAGGAACGCATATACTAGTGCTATAATCTTCTTCTTCACCTTATCCCACTAGGTGAGTCGACACAGCTAATTTTTCTCTTCCATTCTCTTCTATCAGCCGTCATCTCAACACTCACTGCTCTCTCTCTCTCTTATCGTCATTCACACACTATCCATGTTTTCTTCGGTTGACCTCTTCCCCCTCTACCTTGCACTACCATTTCCATATATCTCCTAGTCACATGTATCTTGTCTCTATGCACCACGTCACTAGTGCCATCATTATTTTTTTAAGGGATTTTATGACCTGGTCACTAAGACCTTCAAGTCATGAGTGCCATAATATCAACGAAAAAAAAAAAAAACATTTTTCATAAATGTGAATGAGCCATTTTTTTTGAGATGGTTTTAAAGTGCTATTCGGATTAGATATGTGTCGTTCGCGAACGAACGAATCAAACGACCCGGGTCTCAAAATCCGCGCGAACGATAGGTTCACTTCAAAAAATATGAGTCGTTCATTAGATCGACTCGTTTAACAAAACCTACGAATCAGAAGAAAAGAACCATACGACTGATAGGACAGTCATTCGGATCATTTCGGGTTGCCGCGTCTCGCCCCGCGCCCATCTCGGTTAGTCGTTCGTTGTCGCATAATGACACATAACGCCTTTGTATTGTTTTGATCTCACGTAAACAATTGAACTATAACAGTTCCTTTAAACTGTTATTCAATACTAAACTTTATCCAGCCAGTGACCTGATAATATTAATTACGTCATAAATTGATGTGATACTGAACGTTCGACGTTCGAAACGTTCGACTGAACGCGTCGTACGAACCGGATCATTTTGTCAACAGGTCAGTATTGATCTGAATCTCTAAAATTGAACGAACGACACATGTCTAATTCGGATAAGCCCATAGACCGTGCGTTATCTCTCTTAAGACATGAGAAAATTTCAATTACGTTTTGTAATGACTGTCCTACGCTTAAAGGCGGGTCAAGTGACTGCTTCGCGGTGGAAACGAGCGATATGGTGGTACCTTGTGGTGCGTGCTTCAAATACGCCTCGGTAAAAGTTTAATATGTTGTCTCTTTCTCCCAGGCCCTGATGCGTCGCGACGGTCCAGCGGCGGTGGAGCCCTACATCCGCGTGTCGTGGTTCCCGCTAAGGTTGGCCGCGCTGCTTGTGCTGGTCTCTATTTCGCTCGTGTTAGCGAGTGCAATGACCCTTGTAAGTCTAACGTTATTATTGTTCAATTAGAATATTCAATTATGCTAACGACTGATGTTTCTGAGGTTAATGTGAAATATTGTTAAAATTTAATAATAACCTTTATAATGATTCTTTGATACATTGTTTCATATGATTGTGAAATCGATCATCGAATATAATCGATCAAAATCGATTCTAACAGAACAACTATAAATCGTAAATCTTTTATATTATATATGTTTAGATATTTATCGTAATAATAGACACCTTTGTTTGTTCAATCATTGAAATTTGTCCACTATCACCATTTATCAAGACTTAGATTCATTTGTTAGATTAGATTAAATCACTTTTACTAACTTTGTCAATAGCTACTGAAAGAATAAAAAATACTATCGAACGTTAAACAGAGAAGAAAAAGGTATTTTCCTATTTTTATACTCATATTTGAGGTCCGAATTTGAGTTTGTTTATTTTTTACCCATTGTCACGTATTGACTATTAAACGTAAAATGAAATAGAGTATCATCGGTCATCCAGAAACAATGTATTATTTTCGACAGTTTTTTTTTTACATTAGTGATTTTTTTTACTTTAGGTAATTCGCCTGTAAGTGCTATTAGATCAATGAAGGATTTTTTGTGTGACAATTTGATTTTAATTTCAGGTAATTCCAGTAGCGATCGGCAGAAAGGTGATGGCGCTGTGGATGCCTAAGGCGGCTGAGAGAGTTCACGAACTGTATACCGCTGCATGCGGTAAGTAAACAAAAAAAAAATGTGTGGTGTCGTGAGATACCGGATTATTATAAAAATATTAATTTTAAGTTCTATTCGAGGTATAAAGAAAATAATTATTCGGGTCTTCATTTTTTATTATGATTTTTTTATTGATAAAAGAAAAAAACTACTTTACAAAGCTATCAACTTTATTTTATTCACAATGATTTATAAAAAATATATAATCAAAAAATATGTTATTTTTTGTACGTTATTACAAAATAATTCGCACGCTGTGTGCATCACTAATAAAAATCTTACGTTACGGACGTTCTTTCCCGGTTAGGGTACTCCTCCGCATCGTCCCATAAGGAACTTCGTTCCAATAATTAAAAACAAGAGAGAAAGGGAACAAAAACACTATTTAAAAACATAACGAACTTGCTTTAATAGTTAGCTCAACTAAAAAGTAAATTAATCTTTTTTTTGTCGAAATTGTAGATCTTTTTTTTTAAAAATAAATATTGTAATAATGTCAACGGTCCTTTATAAATGTACGCTTGCAAGTTTTCAAGTTAATCTGACGTCTTGAAGTTTGTGATAGTTTGTTTGAAAGATAATAATAATAATAATAATAACTCTTTATTTATATAACACCTTAATATGTACACTGTAAAGTAATAAAACAAAAGTCGGTATATAAATCGGCGGCCTTATCGCTGAAAGCGATCTCTTCCAGGCAACCTTGCAGGGAGAGGAATAAGTTAACTGGACGGTGCTATATCTTAATAAACTTACATAAAAATATATACTTAAATACACATGTGAAAAATAAATACCATATAAGATAAACTTACATATGATTAAATACAAATAAATACTAAAAATATACAAGATAAAATACAAAAGAAGTAGAAACTTATACAGCTATATCATAGAAGCAAAGTAGTGCGATTTCAATCTGGACTTGAAAATTTCCGGCGAGGACGATTGTTTAACGCTTAAAGGTAACGCATTCCATAAACGGACAGCTTCAACCGCAAAGGAATGGTCATAAAATGACGTCCCGTGAGCCGGAAACTTCAGCATTAAATTCTCCGATGACCTGAGTGAATGAGAGCTTGCAGTATGTAGGAAATCAAAACGTTCCTGAAGGTAGCGCGGGGACGAGGAATTAAACAGGACACTGTAAAGAAGAGACAATATATGAACATTCCGGCGATAACGAATAGGAAGCCACTTGAGCTTAACTCGATACTCAGAGACGTGGTCATATTTGCGTAAACCAAATATAAACCTTATGATAAAATTTTGAAGCCGCTCAAGTTTATTTAGCTGGGCCTCGGTTAGATCAAGATAGCTGGCGTCGGCATAATCAATAATGGGGAGTAACAGAGACTGTGCAAGTGCAATTTTAGTAGATGTTG